TTAATTATATTTAATTTTTTTTATGATAACAACTCAATGTTCTTATTTATTTACATTTTGATTATATTTCCTATTTATTTATATTTTTCTTATATTTCTTCTTTTATTTCTTCTTTAGTTCTATTTTTTCTTGTATTTTTTATTTAGTTCCATTTTTTTCTTTAAGCCAGGTTTGAAAGCAAAGACAGGAGAAAAAACGTCTCAACACCCCACCTCCCCCACCACCCAAATAATTATCGCCATGGGGTGGGCGAGTTCAGCCATCCCCATCCCGCAATTAACACAATTAACCCCTCCAAGGTGCTGGGTATCCGTGTCACTCTGCAGGGACCTGCTATCAGACCCAAGGGACTCTCGGCCAGGCTAATCATTGAGCGGGATGGTTTCGGTGAGAGCCTAGTGTGCCCAGTGCAGGTGCTGGGGGAGCGATGCTGAGCAGTTTCCCGCAGATGGATTTAAATCTGTGAGGATGGTCAGAGCCGTGACATCCCAAATGCCACACAACACCCGTGACATCCCCTGGCTGTGCTGCTGTGCCTCCCTGTCACCCCCTCCAGGCATTTACCCCAAGGGATGGAGATGACAAGGATGCCATTGCTTGCAAGTGGTTGTTCGTAGCCGCATCCCATCTAGGGATGATAGAGGTCATCTTGGAACTATGGTCCCTTTCCAGCTGCATGCCCAGACCCACCGGTATTGGCAGCAATCAAAACACAAAGTGAATTCGCCATCCCTGAGGAGTAAATGGGCTTCAAATGTGCTTATTGCTTAGAACATGCCCAGAATAGATTGGGTTGGAAGCAAGCCATGGGGGTCACCCAGGGCCAACCCCACTCCATCAGCCTTGGACCGCTTCCACCAGGCTGCTGGGGGTGATGCTGCTGCTCAAATCAGCAGCTAACTGCAGTAATTGTGCCCATTTCTCTTTGCATCCTGCAGAAAATCTGTATGAAGATAGGAACCAGCACCCCTAGTACTAACCTATAAGCATCACACATTTTCTTCCGTTATCTCTTACTGTGCATCATGATGGATGCGAATTAAAAAAAAACCCCCGATTTCATCACTAAGCTGAACTCTGGAAGAAAGATGTCGTCACGCCGTTCAAAAGTAATTATTTTTATTTCAACTCTATAAAGTATACAACAGGCACTCGGCAATTACAGCTGCAGGGAAAATACAGAGCGAAACAAAAGCTGTTAAAGGTTATGAAAAAAAAGAGTCCTTAAATCTACACCAAAAGAGTGCAACCGGCCGACGACCAGTGGATGACCGACATTTGTCCGACAAACAAAACCTCTTTCACATAAGTAGAAAAGTGGAGAAAACTAAGAGCAGAAAACAAAGGGCAAGTGTAAAACAGTGTAGGGTGGGATTCGGGGCTGGTGGGCGGTATCCTTGACCCCTTTTGCCGGTAAAGTCCTAAAACTGCCCGAATTTCAGCGTTGCGGCTGGGGAGCCTCCGCCATGGGATGCTGGGGGAGGGGGAAGCATGGATCCTGTTTTGTTGAGTGTTGCAAACGCAGGTGGGGTTGCACACCAAGTTGCTCTTTTTTAAAAAAAAAAAAATTTCCAGGTGGGAGATTTCTGAAGGGGTTTTGTCTAAGACAGGAGGTTGGCGCTGGATGGCACAATCATGGGTTGGATGTGCACAGCTTAGCGAAACAGGAATACCTGTCTAACGGACTGCTAGGATGTCATATATTAATTTGACCCGCACATAACATTTATACATTTCACAGAAATGACTCTGTATCTCATTAACAGATACACAGCTCTGGTACACTGAACAGAAATCAGAGAATGACATCATCATTTCTGTAATTCATCAATATTCTATAATAAAGGCTTAGAAATCGGTAGCAGAAAGAACTGTAAAACGCAGCAAGCTAAGAAAGGACGACATTTTTTGAGGTGTGTTTGTCTTTGTCATGCAGCATAACACCAAATTTGTCTTTTTTTTTTTTTTTTTTTAATAGGATGCGATGGATTTAAGGCACTTGCAACAATGCCAGATAGCTAGTCGTGTTCTAAAACTATGGGACAGATGAGTTAACAGTACAGTTGACAGGAAGTTTAATAATACTGACAATTATGACATTAATTCAAGTCTATCTTGAGCTAAAAACGTTACACTACAAATAAGAAAATGAAGTAATAATGCCATGGAATTCTCAAAGAAAAAAAAAAGTTCTATGTGTACCACAAAAATATCAACACGAAAATACCTATTTACAGAAAGATTCGCTTGTGGTCCTGTTATTATTTAAATAAAGAGTTGGCTATGGGTAATGCAGCAACTGGGAGAAGCTACGGATTGTCCGGGTCTTAATGACACCAAGCTTCACACGCTCGTTTTCGAGACGCGAGCTGGTTTCCCCTTAAATAAAGACGCCGTCATCCCATATATTTAAGAAAAGGAAATGAAGAAGAAAGGACAGCAAGTAGAAACACAGAGGCAATCTGTTGGCATGAATATATATCTATATAATGCAACTCAAATATATTACTTATAAATGAAGGTGTTTATCATACACATATGCTAATACATTGTTTAAAGGATGCTCAGGAAGGGCAATGAGAGTCGAGCGAGGTGTCTGGTATTAAAATAAACATATATTCAGTACAGTGCATGCCGCACGCTGCAGGTGTTCCCTACCAAGGGATGGGCAGAAAGAAAAATAACTCATCAGCCCATTTTAAAACTGTCTTCCCGTCGCATTTTTGGGTTGCCCCCCAAAATCACTGTGATACTCTTTCCTCTCGGCAACCCCTAAACTGACAACTGCATCTCAGCTACTACCACCCCCTGGGGACAAGCTCCTCTGTAGAAAATTACCAAACCCAACAATTGTTCTCCTTGTCAATGGAGACATGTCAATGTCAATGCCACAACACTGTCAATGCTGTGCAAGAAGGGGAGAAAACACCTTTTTAATACAGAACATGGGAAAGAGGTGGGATTTAGCATCAGGGAAGTAATTTTTTCCCGTTAAAACACACACTTTCCACGTACTATGTAGGTGAAAATCACGTGAATGACCTTCCAGCAAAAGTTCATCTTTCAACTTCAAGCATACACAACAGCTCTTGGCAGCTCTGAGATGAACTGGGCAGCATCTGCTCAGTTTTTTGGGGCAGGGTCCATCAGAGAGGTTACAAACTGATGTTTCTTGTTTGTATGACAGGATAAACTTTTAGTTTATGCAACAAACAGGGACCCAGGCCAGGATTCCTGTGTTATGTCCCATAAATCAGAAGAGAGGGCACTAAAGCAAAGGAAAAGCAGTGGAAGTGAGGGAGAAGCGCACACGCAATAATATTATTTTCCCCAGCTCTTTTTTTTCAGACGAGCTGACTTGGCTCTAATGCCTTAAACATGGTCAGTGGGGTACACAGGAGACACAGAGCCCTCACACAAACACATCCAGGATTGGTTTTCCACTTAATTTCCACTTAGCTCCTGGGGAGGCATTAGAGTTACATTTTTAGGAGCAATATTCCCAACAGAGCCAACAAACTGTCCCTGGACCTCCTTTGATTTCAGCTTTTTACTAAACATGGAAGAGATGCAGACACAGAGACACAAAATCATCCAAGAGCATGACGGAGAACAATGCCTCTTGCTACATATTTCTGAAACGGTGGTTGACTCAATTTCTATTCACAGGTGAAGGATGTACATAGCACCTCTAAAGTACATTATGGGTCTTATATTTTCCCTTTGGGTTCTAAAAATATAAAAGTTAAGCTTAGTTTTATGCCTAGTAGCTAATCAGTAAGACCAGTGGGCTGCTGTTGCTTTATTACAGGACCACTATTTATTTTGTAGATAGAATGGATTAATCGTATGATTTTTGTTTTCCATGCAATTATGTATTTGTACCAAGGGAAAGGAAAAAAAAACCCCAAACCCCAAATGTCATGTTACAGTATGTTCTCAGCTGGATGACAGAAGCAACCCACATCTGCCTTAACAAGATCTAAAGCAGTTGTGCTTTTGTTTTACCAGGGGGAAAAAAAAAAAAAAAAAAAAAATTCTCAACTGAAAAGAGGAAAGGTAACATTCAATCTTGTCAAGAATACTGCTCGCAAGGAAAAAGGACCAATTTTCCCACTGCTTTGATGTGAATTCTGACCAGCACCGTTGCGGTCCTCCTTTGCCAGCCTACAGTAGAAGACCTAGGGAGTTTGGAGGGTGGGAGTATCCCCAATCCTGCGCTGTACTTAGCTACAGCACTTAATGAATTGATCCTACCGATAAAGCCAGCGCCTCGCGGCTAGGATTAAGTGTGCCTTACACTACGCTATCTCTCGACTTTTGAGAATTAAAAGCGGAGCAAGACCATCGCAGTGATAGAAAACATATTTCTTTACTGGTGAAAGGCTTTGCGTCAGGACCACCATGTCGACTGCTATTTTTAAAAGTCTGAACATAAAACATGAAGAGCGCTATTGTCGTCTAAGCAAGAAGTCCTAATGCCACTGTAGTTACTGTAGCAGCATCAATCAAGGCATCATGGTGACCCCGAGCACTAATCCTCCCCAATCCATCTGGTTTCGCTGGCAGCCACGTCCCAGAAAGCTGTCTTCAGCAAGGCAGAAGCAGGTGAAGAGAAAAGACGTTAAAAATCTATGTCCCATCCTGAGTTGTCGTCAGGGGGCGGTTCATCACTGTCCTCCGGGAAGCTGTCGAAATTGCTTGTGTCTGTCGGAGATGCGACCTGCAGAAAGAAGAGAGGGACAAGAAAGGGAAAGACATCAAGGTGGACGTCTGAGACGTTTCCTCTCCATCTCCCAACCATGAGCATTCAAAAACATTCATTGCTCACTGCAGCAAGCAAGGAAAGTTCTGTGTTCAACAACTTTTTGCGGAATTCCAGGAGAACTTCCCGCACCTCCCCTCCTCAAATGATCCAGGCCCTCTGGGATCTCCAGTTCAAGAGCAACTGTCCTACTCACGGTTGGTAAAGAAGACTTAAACTTTCTTACAATGAGACCCTGATACACTCAATGCCATTTAAAAACCCGAAACAATACAAAACCAGACCAAAAGCTCTCCAGACCAAAATAATCAATGTCTCACTAGAGAAAACCAGTAGTTTAGGCCACACCCCAAGTAGCCAGTGCACACTGGAGGGGACTGCACTTGCTGCAGGAAACACTCACTCTATTTTTGATCCATTTGACTCGTGCAGATGACAGAGAAGTCATGGTTGGAGACCAGCCTACAGTCCAGGAGAGGTATTTTATGGTGGATGCTGGTGTAAGCCTTGGGAAAAGACTAGTAGATCAACAAGAGTTCCAGTTTCAGCTCTAAATTTAATTTGCTGCCCAGTTGCATCAGCATTTCCCTTGAATACACAACTCACTTTGAAAAAAAGCAACTTGTAAAAGCTTAGTTGAGGACTACTGAGTGATGCTCCACTGCGTACTGACTACTATTTACTCCGTTGGTGCTGGCACTGTTGAGTTGGAGAGCCTTCATCCTTCAGATCCTCATCCTTGGGCTGCTCCCCACTCACCCTCCTCCATGGTGCTATGGACTGGACACCATCCCTGTGTTTCTCTCAGCCCACCCCAGGTGAGCACTTCCTCTGGGAACAGAAGAGTTGGGGATGGATGTACAAGACACCAGCTACCAAAGTGTAAGATGCAGCTGGAGTGGCCATTGACGGAGGGCATGCATGAGCTGGAGCTTCTTGCGAAATCCTCTTGGCAGTGATGAACAGCGTGGAAGTGGACTGCACTTGATGAAAGCATCGATGGGAACACCTAGTAGGGCAGGCATGGTTTTTTGAGGTCTGCTTAGATGAGACTTTAAGGGAAATAAGCCCTGCTTTAGGAAATGGATTGCCTTCCGGGTCCATCTGACAAAGTAAAAAGACTGAGTATATCCAACACCTCAAATGTAGAGGGTTTTCTTTCTCTTAGAAGATATGTGATTTGGGGAAGAAAGGCTGGATGAGTTGTTACTCTGCTGATTAACTTTACGTCATGCTAATACTGTTGTGTGTGATTCCTCACAGCTCCGACGTCCAGGTCACCTGCGTGGCCTGCAGTCCTTCACTGTCCCAGAGACATGGGAACAAACATCCCTCTCAGTTGCTCTCTCCAGCCAAGAAGGGCCACTCTAGATTTATCTCCTGTCCATCCAAGAAGACAGAGTGCAAACCCAGTATCGGCTGTCTGGCTTCTTTACCAACATCAGGGCTTGAGATGAATGACAGTGCAGAGACCTGCGCGTCCTCCAAGGCAAGAACTGGGATGCAAGACAGCACATCTTTGGAAGAGTCAAGAAGTAGGAGAAGCTTTTCTGGACAGCTACTGTGACAGATGTGAGCAGTGGCATCAACGCTCAGTTGCTCCCTGAAGCAATGTCCTAGGAGCAGTAAACTGAGATCGTTGGAACTCGATTATCTTTAAGGTCCCTTCCAACCCTAACCATTCTAGGATTCCATGATTCTATCTCCTAAAATCCTGTAGAGTAAGAGCTAAGGAGCAGCTTTCAATTGCCTCCCTGGTAGTACCGCACAACTACTGAGGAGGGTTTAAGAACCGGGGAATGCTTTTTTCCTTAAGAAAATAGCTAGTCTCTATGTTCAGACCTGCTGGCTCCTTTCCAGCTAACAAGGAGAGGTGCACTGATTGAAGGAAAACCTGATTTCTTCTCCCAGAGCTATGTATTTCAGGTCACTTGTCATATACGGCCCTTACTGGCAGTTGGGACTTTTGCCAAAGCAACGGAGTTGGTTGCAGAAAACAAGGCTAAGCGGGACAGAGAGCTTTGAGGTGGGTGAGGTTGACTAGTTAATGAAAGCAGGTTTTCAAGAAGACCTCAAGAGCATGTTTGGAGAAGATATTTAATCTGAAAGAGGGGAGATTTAGCTGTGTGGGTGGTGAGGCAGTGGCCCAAGTTGCCCAGAGAAGCTGTGGGTGCCCCATCCCTGGAGGGGTTCAAGGCCAGGCTGGATGAGGCTTTGAGTAACCTGGGCTAGTGGGAGGTGTCCCTGCCCATGGCAGGGGGTTGGAACTGGATGGTCTTTAAGGTCCCTTCCAACCCAAACCATTCTGTGATTCTGTGATTAGCCCCAAGAGCTCTAGGAAATAATGAGCTGTGTTGAATTGGGGTTAGGACAACGTATGGCTGTCAGCACCAAGATGTCCTGGAAGAAGAACTCCTTGAAGGTGAGAAAGGATGGTCCTAGCTACTTCAGACAGGCTTAATCATGGTGTGGTGGCCAAAGGGTGACAGCTGATCACTCTTGGGAGCAATCACAGACATGGTCCCTGGTAGGATGTCACCAGACCCATGAACATCCAGCCTTGATTGTACCAAGAAGTAACGCCAACAAAGTGACCTGGGTGCTCACACAACCCTTTTCTCCTGCTGTGTTGGACCTAATTGAAAGAATGTGTGATTTCCTGGAGAGTGAACTTCATCCAGGTGATGCTGAAGGAGCGAAGATCACTCTGGTGGTGGAGCAATGTCCCAGCTTGGGGACATCAGGGAACAATTCGTGCCCATAGAGAGCAGATACAGAGCAGATACCGTTGAAGGCACTGCTGCTGGTTGTGCTGTTAGAGGGTTAGACATGCACAGTCCATACGTACACTGGGTAAAAGCCGTACTGGAAATGTTCTTACTAAAGTCAAAATCCACTGAAAACAATTAGAGAAATAAACTGGGGCATTTTCAGGCTCCACTGACATCTTGCACAGGTGAACCAGGAACTGGAACTGGATGGAAAGGAGCAAATTCCCCTTTATTGTCTGACTTGAGATGCGCTGAACTGTACTGCTGGCAAATTAATAGTCATTAAAAAGAAGTTTAACAGAAAAAACACAGTTTTGATTTCTAAAACATTAATATGTTCTTTGGGCATCCTGCTTTAGGCAGATACTTGCAAAATCCTGGTTTCTCCACTGACTGCCAGTAACTTCTGCAGCCCATAAGGGCAGAAAGGGGACACAAAACCCTCTTGCTTTTTAATAGCTACTAAGACAATTTTGGGATGGCAGATTTAACCCCAGATCCATGCTGGCTGCTGCTGCAGAGGTGCAGGACCATGGGTGGATGGAGCAGCAGGGTGCAATTAAACACGATTGCTCATGTCATTCTCTCGGTGATCCGATGGGAGAGGCGCAGAGAGAAAGGGATTAAGTTGAAACAAGGAGGGGAGGCTGCAGAACAGAAGGGGCCAAGGTAATTTCTATCAGCTAATCCTGTTTGGTTTCCCTTTGCGGTGGGCTTTGTGGGTAAAGAGCTCACAAAGACATCAAAGGCAGAGCTTTGCTCCAAAGGAAAATGAGTCGAGCTGTCCCTCTGTGTCTGCTCCCAGTTAACCATAAACTAGGCAGTAACTGGGCTTTTAATGTAGGACATGGGTGCAGGGAAAAGAAAGGGTGAAAAGCACAAAAGAAAAGGCAGAGGGAAAGGTTAATGCAAAAAAAAAAAAAAAAAAAAAAAAGGGGATTTAAAGAAAAAAAAAAAAAAAAAAAAAAAAAAGGGGAGATGGCATCCAAATCCCACTTGCCTTGTCAAAAGAAAGAAGAATAAAGGAAAAAGCAAGAGACACATCTGAGAGAAGGGGTGAAAGTGGCAGCTCTCCACTGAAATGTGAAAAGTAAATGAACAAGTGGAGCAGGTGAGGAAGAGAAAAATGTGTAATAGTGAGTGATCCTGCCCCAATCTCCTGCTGCAAAGAGCATTTCCCTGCAGCCATGCCCTCCCTAAACCAACTTCTCCTGGCAGAGGCTGCCCAGAGACCAGGTATTGCTGGAAATGGCTCTAATGTGACTCCTTCGAGCATCTTCAGAGGAAATAAAGCACGTGCTGTTGCCGCTTATCTGCAGTGTATTAGTGCCCGAAGCGCACAACATTCAAGGAAAAGAAACTTACTGGCTGGGAAGGAGAAAACAAGTAGGAAAACTTACACTTGGTATTATAGGAGGTGTCAGCGTCCCTTTTCGTAACCCTTCCCAGTTAAAGCCTTCAAACCATCTAGAAGGGAGAGAATAATGAAACAGTTAGACACACAGTAAAAACCTCTCTGTAGCACAAAATGAAATTTAAATTGCTTAAACAGTGGGTTTCATCTGCCGCAGTCATCTTCTTCAAATTGCCCAACTAGCCTGAATAATTTCTCCTGTCATCTTTATATATGTTTTTTGGGACTGAAAATTAAGTGTGTGGAGCAACCCAGTGGTGAGACCATGGCAAGTACAAATTACAAAGGCTCAGCAGAAAACCATTCCTTGCTGTAGGTGTCCTGGTAGCTGCTCCTTCCTTCCGACAGGGTCAATCTGTCCCATACGACACCCCTCATGTCCTTTCTTCTCACGGGATTGGGAGCTAAGGGCATGCACAGGGATGTCCTCCTCCTGGTTTGAGTACTTCGGGTTTGCTCTAGCTATGGCGGCTTAGGTGGGTGGATGAGACCCAAGCTGAGCCTTCAATCCATCCACCCCAAAATGTCTATCCAGCCCATTTCTGTTGCTTCAAGGATGGGAGAAGAGAAGGACCAGCATGGATGGATGAGATAACATGCTTCTGCAATGGGGCTCTGGCTTGTTCTTATTCCCCTCCAGCAGCGTGAAAATTTATGAGACATCACTTCACAACTCTCTCCCATACGATGAATTAATTAACATCATGGATAAAGTGTGTTGGGCTGGGGGGAAAGGGAAATAAAAAAAACCCTTGGATACTGATTCCTCAAACAAACAAACAAAAAAATCCAAGCAGGCAGTGGCCGAGTTGGATTGCTTCCAAATGCTCTTCTGAATGAGATTCATTTAAGAGTAATGATCAACGTACAAGGAGTTTGATCAAGGCAAGGCTGGCATCTATACCAAAGCAAGGGAAAAAAAAAGTCTGACAGAAATTCAACTAGAGTCTAAAGCACACGAGAAGGGTAAGGCCAAAGGAGTTTAAGAAGGGTATTTTTTTTCTGAAAATGAAAGTGTTTGAAATGCATGTTTCTGTGGGTTGGATCTGAGGGATGGTGGATAAGACACTTACTTGTGCTTTTGGATATCTTTCACTCCATTTTTCAAGTTCCCTAATCTTTCTGATGGATTGTCCCTATAAAACGAATAACAAATCGGTTACTTTCTTAATCCTTCTGAATAATTTGCTTCTTTGCAACCAAGATCAAGGTGACTATATTCCATGCGCTTACCTGCATAGTTTTTTAATTAAATTAGCAGCATTTTTGGCAATCTTCTTTGGAAATTCAATCATGTCTATTCCCCTTAATATGATGTTATAGGTCTTCATGGGGTCTGGGCCTGAGAAAGGGGGACTTTGGAGGGGAAAAGAGAAAAATTAAAAGCTTGTCTTTAAACTAGCATTGGAGGTTGATTAAAAAAAACCCAAAACAACCCAAAGGAAAACACAATACCCTACTGAAATGAGAAAAGGGAGATGACAACTAGCAGTGCTTTGCTTCTTCTGATCTTAACCATTTATCAGACAAAGAGCTCTGATGCTCTTTTCTGCGGCACCACGTGCTAACCCTCTCGCTACTGCGATGGCCCGTGTCCTAACAGCTCGAGGAATGGGGTTCGAGCAACGCCTGGTATCTTATCCTCTGACGTTGCGACATGCTTTCGGTGGGGATTAATAAGGTTTCCATTGGTTTAACTGAACAAGGGCTTACATCTATCCCTGGAGGATAAGCAGCTGAGGTGATGGATCCTTTTCCTGCTCCTGTATCCTGGGAGTGAGCGATGGGGGATGAGGTGAGGCAGCTGCTGTGGCCAACATGAGCAGTAATACATACATCCAAAATTAAATAAAGGAAGGGATGGATACAGGGACTCAGATCCCCATAGTGTCAGGTCCACCTCTTCCTTTTCATGCACTGAAATTTCTCCTGCAATCACTGCACCTCCCTGGCTGAACCACAAACCTTTTCCCCACCACGTCCAGCTCACTCTCAGTTATGGGTTAGGGCCAAAAAATGACGTTTTTTGGGTGTAATTTCACAGCACTTCCTAAAAAGCCTGCTCATGCCTTGCCCTTTTGGAGAGATCTGCATGAAAGCTGTGATTTAAAGTGGCAAAATTATTAGGTTTAGCAGCACACGCCAGCTCGGAACCCTCCTCTCAGCTAATCAGGGTGACAACGGCAGAAATATGTGGCTCTATTTTCAGCCCTGATGCCCATACCTGCCAGTCAGGAGTTCATACATTAAGATTCCCAGTGACCAGTAGTCTGCTGAAATGTCGTGACCTTTGTTCAGGATGATCTCGGGGGCTACGTACTCCGGGGTGCCACAAAAAGTCCATGTTTTCTTTCCAAATCCTATTTTCTTTGCAAAGCCAAAATCAACCTGGGGAAAAGGAGCAGAGAACCGTGAGGGCAAAGCACGAGAGGGAATGTCAGCCAGGCACTCCGCTCCTCTTGAAGTGAAGCGAAGCAGAAAGAAAGTCTCCTCGTGGGAATATTTGCCAAACTAAAGCATCGCGGCTCAATTCCACATCCAAGCAACTGCAGTGACCTTATCGCCAATTTATCCTTCGTAACAGAAAAGGAAGATGCTTGTGAGGGAAGAAGAACAAATGCCAGCACAGAGGGTTTTTTGGGAGGTGTAATGTCGTATCTCAAGTTGATTCGTTTTGCCTTTTTAAATTTTTTTTAACTCCCAGCCTTTACCTGAACAAGGAGCTATTTAGGCCAACTGACCACTTTGGCATCTATGGAAAAATTCAGATTTCTCTCCCAGTATAGAGAGCAATGCAGTACAAGCGTCCTCCCAGTCCTCCCAATTTACTTGAGGCTGTTACAATGCACTGTCAGGCTCAGGAACCTCAGTGTGGCCCTACAGCAGTGCCCCTATGGCACCAGCAAACATGGAAAATCAGATTATACTGGGAGCTGAAGCTATCCTTTGGGGCCCAGGCAGAGCTCAGGTCAATATTACCGTATTTTTAGCTTTCCCCCCCTGCCCTCCCCTGCTCAGAGCTGCATTCCGTAGGACACTACTGTCCCTTGATGGCTGCGAGATGCTCTTGTACCCTCCTGTGCTGGGCAGGGGCAAAATGTCCTATGTGGTCACAGTCCCACAAGGGATCTGGGACACTTCTAGTGGTATTATGGATGTGTTGAGGGAGATCAAAATGTCTGAGGCGCTGGGGGTTGGTGATCAATGAGGCTTTGAGCAACCTGGTCTAGTGGGAGGTGTCCCTGCCCATGGCAGTGGGGTTGGAACTCTATGATCTTTAAGGTCCCTTCCAACCCAAACCATTCAGTGATTCTATGATGGGACCAGCTGACACCCCAGTCCAGACCCTCCTGGGGTGGGAAGGAGGACAGCCCTGTACCTAATCCTCCTCCATCACCCAATACCTTGCTGGACGCCCCAGCCTCAGCAAAATGCTGCAGAGGATCAACCCTGATGTAATTCTGATGATTTAGTGCCATGGTGACACATGGTGGCTGCCACCGGGCTGTAAAGGTCCATGATGGTGGTCTGACTTGCTGTTCCTGAGAGTCCCTTCCCAAAGGCAGGGAAGAGTCCCCAGGTTGAGGGACAGAGCCCATGCCCCCCCCCTTAGCCTCCAGGGAGGGCAGAAGCCCCTCTCCGATGCAGCATTTTTTAGGGGTGCATTGCCCCATCCTTCCCTGATGGCCCCTCAAGTGCCCACACCCCCCAGCACCTCCCACCACCAGAAGTCCTTCTTTGTCTTCTCCCCATCCCCACGGCCTCCCCTGACATTTGGGGGGTACTCTACCTGCAGGGCACCTCTGATCTGATTTTTGAGGCTAAGTGAACAAAGCAATGCAGTGAAACCCATCAGAGACTCCCTAATTTGGGGGGTGGAGGTCAAACTATTTTTCAGTAGCTCCAAAACATCTGGGTGGGTTTCTCCTGCTGCTCTTCTCTAACCATTCCCACTGGAGGACCACAGATTTTGTCTTTCCCTGAGCCTCTCTCTGCTGGAGGCTGGGAAAACATCTGGATGGTGGGTGACAACACCCTTGCCCTCATCTCATCTCATCTCAGCATCTCCTGATGGCCACCATCAGAGCTAAGACCCTGGGCTGGGTGGACTTTGCTCCTGACCCTCTGTGGCTAATCCCATGTTCTCCTCTATCCCCAACACCAGTTGTCTGCTAGTAGCGGTGATTTTTTTGGGGCAAAACCAGATGTTGCACACACTCACCAGTTTGGCATAACCTCGGTGATCCAGGATGAGGTTTTCTGGCTTGAGGTCCCGATAAATTATCCCCTTGGAATGCAAATAGGCAAAAGCTTCAACCACGCACGCAGTGTAAAACCTGGTGGTTGAATCCTCAAATGAACCTCTATGTAAAACATGAGAGGGAAAGGGGATAAAACCATTAAATCTCTTCGCTTACTACTTGATTCACCCTACTGTTGAAATATTTACACATTCAGTAGAATCACTCTAATACCAGATAAGTGGCTGTTGCTAAACTCACCTTTATATATAAATTAAATTGCATTTCCATTTTTGAAGTTACCATCTTTGCCCTCAATCCACCTTCATGTCAAATATTTATATCCAAAATACTGCAGGTTTTATTTTATAATTTCATCCAATAGAATTAAAATTTACAAATCATTATCTTGTAAGCAAAAGGTTGGTTTTTTTATTATAATCTTCAGCTTTTGGGTGCTAAAGCTATTTTGAGCTGTGGAAATCAAGAACTCCCATACCAATGTTCACAACTGAGACAAAAGGCAGACAAATGAGACTTGAAGGGTTAATCGCAAATTCAGCATAAGCTGTGCTTTTGGATCCTCGTTTCAGCACCAGTTTGCAATCGGTTTTCTAAAGCAAACCACAGCCCCCTGCATACTAGGAGCGGGCGGTGGGAGCTGGCTGAACTCAGAAGCTGAGCTCAGAAGCGCATCTAAGCTAGATGGCAGCAGAACCACAATTTAGAGCTGTAAGAATTAGAGATGAAATTATCAGGCTGGGACAAGGACGATGCAAAACACCACCCGCACCTACTAACTTTGATACAGCTATCGTTTTAATGGTCCGGAGAAGGCACACTGTTTGGAAAAGGAAGAATTACAAAAAAATTCATTCTAGGTAATTAAAAAATAATTTAATCTTTGCTTTCCAATCAATCCTCCTGATTAATTTCTTCAACTTTCTAAATTTAATTAAATTATGTTCCAATTAGGAGCATATTCCATAGTTACATGTGATTGACTGCATCTTCTCCTGCCCGCGGGCACGTAACTTGCACAGCCTACGTACACCCATGCGACCCACCTTCCACCTACCCGCACATCAACCACTCCAAGCTCAAACCAACCACAGCAGGAAATTCCAGGACTGTATTTGCTTATGCATCATAGCACAGTATGTAATTACATGCTTTCCTAACAGTTTTTTTTTTTTTTCCACAGCACTTCTGTGGCCCAGCTCCTTGCAGGGTGTGGATTTGCTGCACGATCCTGTTTCCCACTTTGATGGGATCTTGGTTACCATGTGATATCTGGACTAAAAGCCCAAGCAGGACTATTGATTTCCTCCTGCTCATTGCTATCATACCTGACTGTGTCATAAATATTAAGAAATATCCACAGATTTATTTATCGCAGTGCCTCTGCGATAGAGGTGGATGTTGCTATTCACAGTTCCAGAGGGTGGGCAGTGGAGCAAACATTGAGATGGAAAGAGCAACAGGAAATGGTGATATTTCAGATAACTTTGAAGTGGTTTGATTTTTTCACCTTGAAAATGCCCTTTCCCATGGGCATTCCCATGTGAACTCTCACTAGTGCCACTGCCGCCTTAGGGCCTTGGTTTCTAAGTCCAGAGCCCAAAACAGCCACGACAGTAATGCAGAAAGGTGCCGGCACTGGAAGGACCACTTCTCCAGACTGTGACTTGCAAGACCACAGCGAGACTGGCCTGGACATTGCACCTTCCTCAATGCCCGGCCACACCCTGCAGAGTCCTTCTCTGCCATCATACTTGGTCCCCAAAGTCTTTGTAACCCTTAGGACAGTCACACACTTTTCTATCAGGTACCCCAGCCTCCAGCCAGGCTTCCAAATGGGAGAAACGGCAGCAAGGGCACCGAGGACACAGCTGTAATTTCTGTGGCTTTAAAAGGTTATCGTTCTAGGTAATGAAAAATTAATTAATTAATTAGATTAAAATTAAAATATGCCACTAGCTATTTAGAGGTATACTTTAGAGATTAAGATATAGGGCAAGGGCAGTCAAAGACAACTTGTAGATGCTATTCATCCCATTACTACCACCGCTACCATCACTGCTTTCTGTATTTTTTCAGAGAGGCCAAGAGACAGTAGCTCCGGATAAATCTTGACTTCTATAAAGCCTTGCACATGTTGGACACAACCTAAATTAGTTTTTATTTTCAGTTATGACTGGATTCACTTCGTCTCTAGTCAACTGCATAGGAACAAAAGTAGCTCCTCACCTTTCTGGGATTTTAAATGTGGTAAGATCCAGATTTTACCCATGAAAGATGAAGACCTCTGGTTATCTGAAGGCGTATTAGAAAAAATTCCACTTTTTAAGATAATTGTTTCTCAAAACTCACCTGTCCCTGAGAATTGTCCAGAGCTCTCCACCTAGACAGGCTTCCATCAGCATGTACAGGTACTTGCTGTCCTTGAACGTCCTGTAGAGCCTGTCGTTGGCAAATGAGAAAATCAGAAAGAAATCCACAATATGAGCGAAGGCACCAAGCCTTTCCACTTCTCCCATACCATGGTCTTCATCCCAGGAAGCACCACAAGTCTAAGGGTGTCTTTCGGAGATAGCGTTACATCCAAGGAGAACGTTTCCATTTCTCTCCGTGGATGAGATTTCAGCAGTAAAGGATGGGCATCTGAATTGTGAAGTGGATCACGGACCTCAGAAGAAGAGGTCATCACTATTCTGGGTGCTACACACAAAATCTGCCATTTCTAATGGCATAGCCTGAAATTTTAATAATATCCCTATCGTCATATTCTTCACACAAACAGAGCCTGGCTGCAGATGGGCAATCTTCCTTCCATCTGACCATTTCAAAGGACCACTGCCCAATTTGTGATTCCTTTCAGAACTTAATCCCACAAATCCGGTAGAGTTTAAAGAGAACCCGCTGACATGCAGGTAGCTTAAATTGCTCTTCCTCTTCCTCCCAGGGACTGAATGGGGAGGAAAAATTGCCTAAAGGCAATGGGCCAGGCTTTATGAACCCATCCTCCTTCTCAAGTGCAATCTAAATTGTGCAGTAAAATCTGTGTTTCATATGATATATTAAACACATGGAATTATAGAACTATGGAAATAGAAGTAGAGAATTTCGTATTAGCTGTTTTATTTAATTTTAATGTCAAACTACCTTTGTACCTCCCATCACATGTGTGATTATATCAGTTCAGGTTGCCTGCAGGAATGAGCCCGCTGGATGTGGATACTGGAAGGTTTCTTTGCAGCTGTGCCCTTTAGAAATTACTTTTTAAAGCTCCCAGCTCCAGAGCAGAAGGGGATGCAGAGGGATGGATATTCTGTTGTGGTGTATCAACTGCTGCATTCATGGGAGTTTCCAAGAGCTAAAAATTAAAGGGCTGATGCAACACCATATAAATTAAAACAGGTGGTTTTGCAAATTCTAGCTCTTCCCAGCTAGTGATAAATCCTGTTATTAATATATTTTATGGAGCTGTGTGATGGACCAGGGGGAAAACACAGCAGCATTTGGTGCTTTTCGAAGACATTCAGTTAAATATTAACTTAAGCTACGTGGCAAAACATCCTGGCAGCTACAGCTTGGCTCTGCTATGCTTTCACATCACAATGCTAGACAACATTTGTCTCCTGTCTGTGTTTTGCGCAGCATCCAGCACACAGCTTAGCAGCAGTTACCTGCTCGATTTTTTGCATCTTTAACAGGAAAAGATCCCAGCAGGCGCAGCTGGGATGCAGGCAGGAGTTTGGGTACCCAATATGCTCGGTGCTTATCTACCTGGGAAATACTGTGTAGCTAAAAGGTACTATTTGCAGCCACAATAAAATGTAAAGTTAAAAAAAATAATAACCTGTGTTTTAGATCTTCCCTCCCTCTGGTATTACTACCTCTGTTGACATTTAAAACCTCAGTTACAACCTGCTTCTAAAAAAAAGTTGGAACAAACTTTCTGACCATTTCATATCGTTAAATTTTTTGGGTTTAATAAAAAAAATCCTGTTTCTTGCCAGGGCAAAATAAATTTATCTTAATAAAAATTTAATTGACACTAAGGTTTACAGTGAACCCACATATTCAAGAATCCAAAATATGAGTAGCTAAATATTTTGAATTGCTCAGTAATTTAAATACTTCTGAAATAAGGTGTTGCTTTCTCTAGTTAAAGTACCCTGCTGAAAAATTGCTTTTCAGAAAAATTTATAGGCATAAAATCTGCCCTAAAATATGCAGAAAAAAAAAATCAAATATTGTTTGTTAACTGTAATAGAAGCATAAAGTTTATACATGATGAAACCATGGTATTTCAGTAGATCAAGTAGTCATAAGTTTGAAATGTCACCATATTTAAAATTATTTTTAATTAATTTTCTTATTCATCTAAATATTTGCAGAGCCAGTGGAGACCTCCACAGCTTGTTTGGCCCTTTCACAAACCCGCACAGAGCATTTTATTCTGTAAAATTCTTAGTTTATCTACAAGTACGTTTTATTTAGCAATACCTGGCCTCTCCTGCTCCTTATGCCTGGTTTAATCCATTTTAACAACCAAATGGGACTACTCTTCAAAGATTTTTAACGAATAGTTCAATGAATTAAGAAAATAATTGGGTTTTTTTTTCAGACTTTTAAACCCACCTTTCACCTGCCATCTCAAAACACAATTAATCTACCAACATGCCCATAGCACCCAGAAAAAATATTCTCCCAGCTGGCCCAAGAAAGGGTACAATCAGGTTATGAATTATTTTAGGAAAGATGCTAGAACAACTTCAAATCACTGGGGACATGCAAAAGGAGAAGCGAAGGGGAAGCGCAGACACAGGGTTTGATAAACCAGAGAGGATTTTCTTGCTGCAGCATGTGGAATAGCAAAAGGTTGGACTTCACGACTTAGAAAGTTCCTTCCCGGTGCAGGATTTCCACGGGCTATCAAAAATAGTTAAGTAAGGCTTGCTACTGTACAGGATAGGAATTATTGCATGATACAGAAGGAAAAGACCTCTGGCTAACACATCCTTTTTTTCACCTGCCTACTGAAAGAATAAAAAATGGGAATGAAGAATGATTTATTTTAATGGCTATGAATATCAGTGGCTCCATTAAGAAACGTTTGCAGGCTGGGGTTTTTTATTTAGGAGTGGGATATTTCTGGAAATGGTGTCAAAATGTCCCTTTGGTTGGCTGGCCACACACTTCACCCTCCTTCACATCCCCAGCTTGAGCCACAAAATCAATCTATAGGCTGAAATATTCCCCAAGGAATTGGCTCTAGCTTAGGTAACAGGGGCATGCTTGTGAATCAAATAATATTACAGCATGAAGGAAACGTCAGCTGGGTAAGGTGTCAGGCTGCAGTTGTCACCCATGAATCAAGAGGCGAAGCCACGGGCTCTGGGGGAATCCCAGGGATCAGCCTGGGAAGGAAACACGCCCTTAGTGGCAGATGGGTGGTCAGCCTGGTCTTTGCATTTATCGCAGGGGTTTGGTTTCGTTCCTGGGTTAGTATGTCTCTCTGGAGCAATTTTTGGGAGTGGGGTTGATCTCTTCTGGCAAAAGGCAAGTGCTTCAGGCATGTCTTTGAGGATGCGGCACCCTTGGCTTAGCTAGATATCTCCAGCTGGGTGACAAGCATTGGTCTGCCAGAGGTCCTCAGCACCCATCGCTCTTATCCTGACCTCCACCATCTAAAGACCCATCTTGACAGATACTCTGAATTCTTGAAGAGGCAGAGAACTTTATCATTGAGTCAAAATGAACAAAAATGCCCGGCACCTGATTTTATTCACTGAAGAATTGCATCTGCTGAATTGCATCTTGGTGGGGGGGCGTATGATTTTAGGGCATTTGCCTGTGATGAGTCAAGGGACACTTGATCCAGCTAATCCAGCCTGAAGAGAAGCACTGGATATAAACATTTATTCACATGGCAGCACATGATCTCGAAAGATTAAACCTTGCCTTCCAGCTTCCTTCTGTGCAAAGGAAAATTCAGAGATTCTGAAGAAAAAGGAGAATTAACCTTGAGCAAGGACAATGCTGAGTCATGGTGCATACGTCTACATGGAACATTGCTCACTGGCATCACCAAGCTCTGCCCAGGCTGGAGGTGTCCTTGTCCTAGGAGCAACAAAGCCATGTGAGCACGGGATGGGGCCAACGCAAACCAGTTCAGACACCAGTTTAGTTTAGGCTTGGGTGGACATCTCCCATGGGCTGAGTAATCCTGTGTTTGCCTGGAGAAGACCTTATCTCATGCTCCATATCTGCAGTCCCTCGCAGGGAAGCTATGGCTAACAGGTTTTTCTGGTGATGGATGGATTATTCCTATGTGGGTTTACAAAATACTGAGATCAGCTGTGCTCTGCTCCACCCCCCGGCAGCACAGATGGTGGCAGGACGGTACCTCACGATGAAGTCCGAGTGTGCGCTCTGCATGATCTGCTTCTCTGAGCGGATGTGCTCCTGCTGCCGTGTGTCCACGATGTGCCGTTTCTTCAGGATTTTCATAGCAAACGTTTTTGACTCTTCGCTTTTCAGCTGGACCTTGGGTAGAGCAGGCAAATGCAACCGTTAGAAGCCAGGCGCGTCACCCCATGATGTCCAGCTGTGGGGACCCAGCAATCCCACCACCCCACCTTCAAACCAGTCCTCTCACCTCTTCCATTATCACCTTCACTTTAGTAGGAACCCAATTTCTAAATGCTTGGCCTAGTGCTAACTTGAAAAGCTATTTCATGAACTCCACGTACTTAGCCGTTGGCATCACTCTTACCTCAGAAGGTGTTGCTAGCTAACGTACAACTTCTGCAAAGCCTTTTTCTACAGCTAGCAACAAACACACTGGCTCTGGCAGGGCAACACAGTCCTTGGATGTTTGGAGAGGATGAGCAGAGCTGGCTTTTCAACAGCGCTGTTTGGTCAAGTCTTTACTTTTAACGTTAAATCTCAGCAACCTATTTTTAGCCTCATTTCCTGAGACGAGGTTGAAGGGAGTTGTTTGCTTGCTCTCCGACATAACCCTGGTAACTTCTGAACCCCCAGCCATCCCCAGGAGCAGTACCCAGCCCAAAGCCCACTGGACCACAGCCAGCCTTCCCATCTTGGCCATCCCCTCTTAGTCACCAGCAGATAAGAAAGGAACCTTGTCAGTGACCTACCAGGCCTCTTGGTTTGCTAAATTCCCCCCGCAGCTGCTCACAATAGTACCACCAGTTAAATTCTTTCCCCGCTTTACAGTAAGAGGTACCATTTGGCTTCTGTTTTGTCATCAAGCCCCATCAGAAATCCAGCTTGCCTTTGAGTTTAGGAGACAACACTCATGCAATCGCCATTTATTTAATATAATCTCTATTTTTATATTTTCTTGGTGACAGAAATATGGGCTGATGAGAGACATGGCACCTTTCACACTTTTCCCAGGCTGCACACCATGACCTTAAACAGTTTCCTCTGTGTTTGCTTTGTGCATGTAACAGTGCTAGTTGCAGGGAAAATGGAAGGACGGATGGTATCCTCAGCATCCCGTCTTTGTCAGAAATCTAACCGGTACTCTTATGTCCACAAAGACACCTACAGCTTAAGAAAATCAAACCCAAAAGGCTGATTTGCAGCCTGAGATTCCCAACACCACTACAAGTGATTCAGAAATAAACCCTAATAGATGAGAGTCCACCCATCTACAACCAAAGTTTCCATCTCAAGTTCTTCGATATGTATATATGTGTGTATGTATTTCTCTATCTGTTTTAAAACCACGTGGGGTTTCGGTCCCCAGATTTGTGGCTTCTGTTTTTCCCTGCAGCTGCAAGCATCTCTGAGCCCACGTTAAACTTTTCTTTTTCCCAAGATGCTATTCTGAATCTCACAGACTCGTAATTATTATTTTTGCAGGAAGCCTGTGTTTGTCATCAATTTTCAGGGTATAAAGACCTGAACAATCCACATAAAATAAAGAAAAACATTTTTCCTCATCTCTGCAGTAGAGCTGCCCAGCTATTTATCAAACTTGTGCTACATGGCGCTGCCTTCGCCATGTGGTTTGACCACAGCTCAAGAAGTTCTGCATGTATGGCAGACTGAAAGTGATAAAAATATTTTTGGTTTGGGGTTAAGGTTTGGGGTTTTTTTTGTTTGTTTCATGTTGAAAAAAATGGCATGTGGACCTCAGTTCAACTGTTTGAACTAAATTATTGGATATTATCCCACCAAACCAGGCTGTTTCAGGGGAGCAAGGGTGAGAAGTGAGGAATGAAATGATGAAGAAAGTGAAGGTAAAATCTGGGCTGAGCACAATTTACCAAAGCTTGCCAAAAAAAAAAAAAAAAAGGTTTACTGTTACTCAGCACATGCTACTGGAGAACTTATCCCTCTTGCTTTCCATGGAATCAACATTGTGTGGTTTCCCATCAGACCTGTCCATCTAATGATTGACAAGCTCAATCAACTGCCACACAAATTATTTCAAACACAAGTCTGTTCAAATCCCTATTAGATATTACAGGTCAAATTTATTTTCTTTCAGCCTGTATTTTTTTAAGCCTAAGCTGTCGGCAGACAAATAATAATGAACAGTGGAACCAAGAAAGTAGCTCCAGTATCAAATATGAACTTTCTTGGTCAATCTGGACATGAAACACTGAAAAAAAAAAAAAAAGGAAAAAAAAAGTTATTTAGCACTCTAAACTTACTTGAAACATAAATTTCTGTTTTCCTAGTATTAATCTGTACTAGACATCAGTGTTAATAAACAAATCTGGTGAAGGTTCGTAAGAATAAATTCCAATATTTTATAACAAAGGATAGTATGAATGAATCCCAGTGTGTTCCCTTCTGATATTCTCATTTTGATACAATGGATTTTGACTACCTGATTTTTGTGTCTTTCATTACAAAGGCTATTTATTTTATTAACTACTCTTTTTTCAGGGATGCCTGGGCACATGATGGGAGAGTCTGGGAAAGCAACCTGCTTTCCTAGACATACCTGCACCGCTTCAAAATAACTATAGGCAAGGAAATTATTAAAAGGAAGCAGAAGACAGAGGTTTTATTTAGTGTCTGATGATGTTACTGCTGCCACAAATGTTTAAATATCAATCAGGTGGCTACAATTAGCTAATGCAAGACTTTGACCCAATGCCCCAGGAGAACCGAGATCCATTTTCCATTCCCACTCCATCCTGCTTCATAACACAGAGGATTTGTGAGAGTTTGAGAGTGTGGGGGGATTAATTTGCATTAAATGTTATCGATGCACCAAAACAAGCCGCTCAGGTACCATATCTCAGGCTTACATTTTGCATCACCTCACTGTCCATCTGGAAAATGAATCCTGATAAATTATCCTCCTCCTTCAACATGCCCAAGTCGTCCCCTTGCTTTGGTGTTTCTGCCAAATGTGGTAACTGTAGGACTAGTTTTATGACGTAAAGCTAGGGAGCTCCACATCATTTCTATTGTTCTTATAAACAGTAATTTAAAATATTAAGCTCATGATACTTAATAGAAAAAAAAAAAAGTCTAATCCCAATCTTATTTCAAAAGTAGGAAAAACAATATCCAGGACTTACCTGGACTTACTATTAAAAAAAAAAAAAAAGGATTAATGTTGAGAATGGGCTGCTGAGAATACCCTGTTCTCCAGTTATAATGAAAAAATAGCCCATGGAGCCACAGAAGCCACAAGGATCTTGACTCATGGCTCAGAAGGATGGAGATATCTCGGGCAGGAAGCTCAGCCTCCCAAGGAAACCCGCTGTCTTGGTGTCAGGACCACCACC